AAGATACTATTTTCATAGCTTCACAAGAGAGGTGTGCGAGGGCCTCACAAGACGTTGGCCTCTACAAACGCCCCTGTCCTGCGCATTCACTCCGGTTGCCCCAGCTTCAGCTGGTGCGAAATGCAGCGGCCACCAAGCTCCTGGTTGGAACATCTCATGGGTGCTAAGGCAGCATCATTCAGTTTCTGTTTTCAAACCCTGCACTGCTGAAGTGCGTTAAGGAGGGAGAGGGTAGGTCTGTTGATTGAGGAATGTGTGTGTTGCAAGAGTTTCCACTGACTTATGTGTGCAGCACTTTATGTTGTCTGTAACTGTGATTGTCCAAGCTATAGTTCAATGAAAACAGGAAGTGGTTAACAAATAGTTCATTACAGAGGGACAGACATCTTCACACTAGCTCTTCTACTGTGCAATCTTCTGCAACTTCAACTCAGAAGTATTCAGTAGGACTTATTCCCTAGGAAGCATGCTTAGTTTTGCAGCTTTAGGCTGCAATCCTATACCACACAGGAGGACCTCCATGGTGGTCCTACATAGGCCAAATACAAATGCTTAGAACATGGACATTCCCTCATAAGCAAGACTGGCTTTTCTCACGCCCACAAACACAAGTATGCCCCCAGTGGGAGAAAATGTTGCTGGCATGGTAGGCCTGTGTGCCTGCATCGCTGGAGATGAAGGAGAGGCTCATACGGTTCTCTTGGCACTGCAAAGTGTGTCCTCTGTAGCTCCAGGTCTGGGCTTCCTGCCTGCTTCCCACTCTTGTAGGTGGCACAACACTTGTTGCACAAGGTCAAGAGACGTGGTGTTTGAGGCTTGTGGGATGCACGTTTGGCCATGCTGGGCCAGTCTTAAGACAGGATTCCCACCATGAGGTAACTGCTAAATGCTATTTCATGGTGGAAAAAATGTGTATGTGGTGTGTGTGAGTGTCTGTGCGTGTGTGGCTCCTGTTGAAGGGGCCAATGCTGCCAAGGCAGAACGTTGTATCCAATGCTACTCCTACTCAAAGGAGTATGAAATGAAATGAAATGATAAAATGAAATGGGTTTGACTAACATAACACAGCGACTAGCATAAATTGCACTGATTTCAATGTTTCTGTTCGAAGAAGGAATGATGTTGGGTGGCTGAATAATTCTAGAGCTGATTCTGATTGTGGCTTTTATACCTTGATCCTGGGTTCCTGCCACAATGCAGTTTACATGTGAAATCTGTTAAAAATACTGTCCAGTTGGCAAGAGAAGGCATACTCCAGGAAAGCTGCCTTTATCGTTCAGTATATTGTACCAAACAATTTTGAGCCAGAAAAACCGCATAAGGAACCATCCCAAATGGGCAGAAAAGAGTGATTTACACCAGCAACATTTTATTAAATTGTACAACCTTTCCAAAAGAAAGAGGAACCATCCCAATCTAGCCTCACAGAGGAACTATGCTATCCACAGATTTGGTTTCATGTCAGAAACGTGGTGGATCATCACAGACAGCTATCACCATCTTTGCAGTTTGGGACACTTTTTCAAAAATGTGCAAAGGAGAAGTGAGTCCTCAGAAACTAACTGGGAATGTTTGCAATCAAAAGGACAAATAGATACAGGTCTGAGTGCTGCAAAGACCTTGGGCCTTACTCCAAGGTAATACTTAAGCATACTTATGTTGCAAAAACAACCTTCTCTGACCAAGTCCCTGCATTCATATTCAAAGTGTGGAGCGGTGGGGAGGAGAGTAAAATCAGAAGCAGAAGTTAGAGGCAGGAGAGTAATTTAATCGCAACTTTTAAAACCACACAGTTTCAGAGAATGTTCTCAAGATTGCACTGGTGACTGATGCCTTCATCCTTAGCATGTTTTAACAGTAAGATTTGTCTTGTTCACCCAAATCACTATGCATACATTTTCTGTTAAAGGGCAGACCCGTTTCCACCATGTTTACACAAGTTTGTAGGACCGTTTTTAAATTCTATACTCATTTTTGTCTTTCACCCCAGATTCACTCAAGGAAGCTGGACATTGTGCAAAATGAGAGTTCATGAAGTACATTTGGCTGCAGTCTACACAAGAGCACCCCCCTTTAATGAAGCCACACAGTTGCAATATTGATGCAGAATGCAATTCTCACAGTTGGGGCTCATGCTGATGAATGCAGTGCGGTTTCCACTGTGTTGAAAACATGATCTTGTGTCACACACAAATGTAATTGCTGGAGAAGTGGGAGGAACTGACAAGGTAATATATGCAGGGAAAGAGCCCCTTTTAAAAAGTTGTTGTTCAGCCACAAACTAGGCATAAATGCAAAGGAGCAGGCTGCTTTCTGACCCTCACAAAATCTTGCAGAAGTAGAGAGGGGAGGGGGAAGCTGTGGTGCTGCTTGTTGCCATCCTCCCATTTCCCATGGGACCCTGTGTGGTGTAGTGGTTAAGAGCGCAGGACTGGGACTGAGGAGATCTGGGCTCTAGTCCCAGTTCAGCCATGGAAGCAAATGAGTGACTTTGGGCTAGTCACAGACTCTCAGCCCAACCTACTTCACAGAGTTGTTGTTGTGGTGATAAGACTGAATGCAGGAGGGGGAGAATGATGTAAGCCACTTTGAGTTCATTAAAAAAGAAAAGGTGGGATATAAATCAAATAAATAAATACATATGGGATGAAGCCAGCAGGCTCAGCACCCCCATCCCCCTCCACCCAGAAGCAAGCACAGTCCCTCTCCTTTGCTGACTTTCCCACAGATGTGATTTACATCTGAGTACAGCCATGGAAAAGAAGAGGATTTACTTCTGAGTGGATTATATGCCTGGATTATATGTTGTTGTTCCTTGAGGCAAAAGGACAGAGGAGCCAGTTGAGAACCATGGCCCTTTAAAACCCACCACAAACTGTTGTTGTTGTTGCAAATGACAAGAGACTGGGAGAAGGGAGGCAACTCTGCACCCACCCTCCAGGGCCCAGGGCAAGGCAGGGAGATGGCGGGCAAGGGAGGCAGGATAGCAGCAGAGGGCGGTCAGCTCGATTGAGAGCCCTGCTCAGCGCTTTCCTCCCTGCCCGCTACATGCCGCAACCACTCTGCCCTGCCAGCAGAACAGTACCGAAGCACATCCCCTGGGGAAAGCAAAGTCATTTTATAACTGCTCTAAAAAAAAAATCTGAATCCTGGCAGAAATTGCAGGAGAAGGGCCATTCCGGATGAGCATTATGTGACGTGCCAGGCAGGCAGGCATTAAAATGGCTGTAAAAATCCCTGGTGTAGATCAGGCCTTGGGCACATGGCCAGCTCCTAACTGTCCATCCCAAAAAGTCACCTTGCATTTATAGTATTGTGCTGAGAAATGGATCTGCACCTGTGATTTTAGAGGGCTCAGATAATAAATCTACTAAGGCACTCCAGAGTCAAGGCCAAGAGTCAATGCCAACTGGTTCAGGAGTAATCTGGCAGTAAGTATGCCCAAGGATCATGCAAATGTGCTTTCATTTTTAGGCAGCAATCCTCATTTTTATACTTAATTATTTTTAAATGTCATTTTGTCTCTTTTTTGCACTCCTTAACTTGTAAGATTAGGGGAAATAAGTCATATTTAAGAAATAAGTCATATAACCCCAAATCTGTATAAAAGATACTTGCAAAGCAGGCATCAAACAAACTTCTTTTTCCTTTGTAGTGACTGGGGCCAATGGTAGCATCCCCTGGGTGGTCGACAGACAGGCGGAAGTGGGTGGTGGTGGTGGGGAGTCATAAGGTCACAGTGCAGAGAGAAAAGCCCTTCCTCAGCCCTGTACACCATGGTTCCAATCCTCAGCAGTCCGCCCTTTACCCCTGGGTGGCTACAATGCTGAACCCTCCAGCCAAGCAGGCACAGCAGTGCTTGCTCTCATCTGGACTTTCATAACTTTGTGTTGAGGAAAATGCAGCAACTTTTGTGTTCAGGTTCATAATACTGCTGAGCAGTACTTTTTTGTTGCTAGGAAAGGGCACAGCCAAGTCTCCCATGCGAAAGGAACATTGTGGGCATCTGAGTAGCCATTAAATTTTCTCTGCCAGCGCCTCCCCTGAAGGACAGAGCTGCAGAGGCAGCTTTTTTGGCACTGGAGACATGCTCTGAGATGTGTGGCAATGGCACTCCCCACCACTGTTATCGTGAGAGATGATGGTGGCAGATCCACATGCTTAAAACTGGGGTCCCGCTTAAGGAGCAAAAGGGGTGCTTGGCTGAGGAGAGCAGGAAAAAACACTTCCCCTTCCACAATCACTTTTCCTGCAGACCCCACACCTTTTGCCCTGGCAGATCACACTCCCAGGGTCAGTGTCCTGCTGAGGAAAAGTACAACTGGGGGCAAGGAGGGGGCAGAGCATGCAAGCTGCTTTTGCTGGCAGCAGGACAGAGACCCTGAGAGACCCTGCACAGCAAGACCTCAGGCTGGTCCTGCAAACTGTGGGGAGATCGGCTGTGGGAAGAAGGAAGTTCTGAAGCTCTTCTCCATGCTCCTTAAACTGGGTTTTCCAGCTCCCCACACAGGGCCACATGACCGAGGCCAGTCCAAAAGGGAATCGCCTCATCTAGCCTGGCCCCAGCACCCAGCATTTGACTTCAGAGCATTTGGAGCACTTGACACCTTGCCTTAATTATCCTTACTTGTACCAAGCACATAATTATGATACCCACACAGCAAATGTTGCAGTGAAAGATGGTGGAAACTAGGCCCCTCTCCACCTCCAGCATGTTCATGGCTGAGACTATGTTGGGCCTGGGGACCCAGGTGCAGCTCACACTTTTAGGCACTCATTCCCTTGTGCATGAACAGCAACGGCCTGATTCTGCATGTGGGAACCACATGAGGAACGGACCAAAGTAGCTGGAGAAATCGGTCCCGGCACCTTCTGCTAAGTGAGCCTCGAATTAGCCCCTCCCATTTAATATTTGCTGCCCCAGCTATTACAGCCACATTGGAAGAATTAGAAACCCAGAAGTCCAGCCGTGAAGCCAAGCCACGTGAAAAGGCCCTTACCTTGGTGTCTCGCCTTGGGCAACTTCCTCCACCCCAAGTTCGCTCTCAGCACCTCTCAGACATTCCTCTACATCAGACATTTTCGTTGCTGGTTAGGAACGTGGCCGAGGCAATTTTCTTTGCAAACTGTCTTTTAAGGCGAGTTAACACAGTTGTTCTCTCTCCACTCTTCCTGTATTGAGTCTAAAGGCAGAAGTACCGGAAACCATGTGGGGACTGCGGGTGTGAGTTTTGTGTTTTACTCAGAAAGAGAAAAATCGTAGCAGAAAAAGATGAAAATTAATCCCCACTCACTCACTCGCACAAGAGTAATGCAGTCCAGAAGGGGAACCAAGGCTAACAGGCAGCTCGCCGAGGAAACTTTGTCCTTAAGTCAAGCAGAAACTCACAGTGTTGCATCAACACATCAGTACTTGCATGCAAGGATGCCTCACGTCTCTTTCTCCACTTATCTGTGTTTTGACTATGTAAGGATCCTTTGTGCAGATAGCAGGGGCTTGGAGCTTTGGCAGTTGCAACACAACTTCAACAAGAATCTACATGCAGCATATCTGAAGGGATGGAAAGAGGATCAAAGTCCACAGACTTGCAGGAATGGCCCTCAGACAACGTCCAGTTCAGCAGAGCAGGAAGAGCTGTTTTAAGTTGGTGGGGGTAAAAGCACTAAGGGCTCTCAAGCAGCCAGAATCGCATACAAATGTCCTGTTAGAGGGGACAGATTTAGCTGCCTTGGATAGTTGCTTTGGGATATTATTTCATGCAGTACTGTTGCATTTTTACAGCCAGAAAGTGTGCGCCACTGTGGGAGTTTCTGCCTCATTACTTGGCAAGTGAGTACCATGTAGCCTGACTGAGTGGAAGGGGCACCGTCTGCTATTTTGTCTGTGACAACAAAATGTCTTGGCCCAGCTATGACTTAATAGGTTGCTTTGCAGTCTATTACTACCAGACATTTACATTTATATTCTGCCTGCCTTCCTCTAGCAAGGAACCCAAGAGGCTTATAAGATTCTCCTCCTCTCCATTCTGCCTTCACAACCTGAGGTAGGTTAGGCTGAGAGGCAGTGACCGGCCTGGAGTCACCCAATGGGCTTCATGGATAAGTGGGGCCTTGAACCCAGATCTCCTGCATCCCAGTCAGTGCTCTTGCCAGTACATCACAATGGCAACCTACCCCTTTCACTCAGCCAGGCGGGTTACTCTTCAGAGATGACACTGGTCTGGTTCATCAGAACTCTATGGAGTGCAACACTGGCACAACTCTGTCGGCACCATCGCTGCCACAGCCTCCCTCTTCTCCCCCGTGACCGTCTCCCTCCCCTCCCCAATTCATCGGTTTCCCTCCTCCCCTGCCCTCATGCCTGTTGCCTCCCCACCACCCGTCCTCCAACGTGGTCTGTCTGCAGCTCCATGCTCAGTGGTATCCAGAATGCTGGAGGCGGCTTTGCATGCAATCCTTAAATGTGTTGAAGTAAACCTGAACTGCCTGTCCAGCTCCGCTTTTTCTAAACCTATCCCTCCCTCCCTCTTGTCCCTTTCTCCACTATCAACAGTTTGAATTCTGAAGGTTCACTGGTGCTTTTCAGGCCATATTTTTAAACAAAACGTTTTTCTTGCAGTGTAAAGAGATGGCTCTATATACCTCCCCAGGAAGCTGGCTGACTACGTAACCCATGATCTTGCTTTTGAATGACCCCATTTTGCTCCAAACTGATAGGCACTCTGCCACTTGAGTTCACTGTTGGAGACTTGCTCCAAAGGGACTTGCTCTCAGGTGCATGCAGTCTTAACCTATTACAAAGTACTCACCTTCCCTTCTTGTTTGTCCTAATACTGTACCTGAGATATCATCTGTACTATTTGAAATGGGCCTTGAAAGTGTACAAATGAGCAACATCCCCAATTTTCAGCCACAATCACTCATCCAAAGAGTGCCAGCAGTCCTGAGGAGTCACTTTCCAAGCACAATAGCCTTTCTGCCTTTAACTTGCTCACTCTGAATGAATGCACAGAGCCTCAGGCACAACCGTCCTGCCAAGTGGCCAGAGTTCCTTCAGCCTCTGACCCAGACATCCGTAAAGGCAGGACTTGAAAATGACCTGGTGATGCTTCCTCCAAAGTGCTCCAAGCACAAAAAACCATTTGCCCCAGAATCAACCAGGCTTTTGTGAGAGATGTAGCTTGTCATCAGCCTTCATGGACGTAACTCCTGTTAAAACTCATATTCTTAACCAATTGACTACTGGCCTTTGCACTGTGCTGCTAAATCAGCTATTAGTTTAACCCAAACACAAATGACTTGATCGTGCATTTTTATTTAATTATGCAGAAAATTTTAATCTGCAGCCCGAAGGCTCTTTACAAGAGTTTCATCCAAAACACTCAGTGTACAAAACTGAGGAACAAGGTGTGTCAGAGGACAGGATCTTTCTAACAAACAAGAGATGTCTTTAGGATGGTTTGCAAATTGATTGTCCTGCCTCTGCTAAGGAAGGGGAAATGAGAAAACATGAAGCAACTACGCTAACCGCCCAACCACTTCCTTTTTGTGCCTTCCTTTTCTCTGTGTTAATATCTTGCTCAAAACCCTGCTCGTGCATGAAACGACTCTTCTGAAACAGGACAAAGGAGTTTGGAACACATGGCTTTCAAACTCAGACCCAAAAAGAGTCAGTCATGGATTCCCTGATATGGGGATGATGGCAGACCACTCGATCGTAGCTGGTGCTGAAATATGCAGAGGTACTCTGTGTGAACTCAGAGGACACCACACCAGAGGTGTGGACAACTACACAAAGCATGCTGGGCCTTGTATCCTGCTGGTGCTACTTTAGGCAGGTCTCTTCACCTTGGGCAGGCCAGGGGTGAGGTTGAAGTACATTGTGATTAACCACAAAGCCACATGATTGCTGTCAACCTACTACTTTTTCCCCCCTTTTTTGGCATGTAAGCCTTTCTAAAAAATCACTATCAGCATTATTCATAACATATGGTAAGAATTCATGCCCTGGCTTGTGGACTAAAATACAGAATAGCATATTTGTTGGTCTTCTGTCCCACAAGGGGTATTGCTTACTGGGATACATATCAAAACTGTTTAATATGGGTCAGTGTATAAGTGTGCCAAGTTTCATACTTTTCACCAAAGTCTGTGATTTGAGGCTTAACCAGTCTGCTAATTTAGAACATTCCAGAAAAATCTCCAGCTATTAACTTTATTTTGCCTGTTAAGACATGTAGCCAGTCCGACATTCAAAACGATACTTATTTTCTCTGGAATGGTTCACTTCAGGAGTGGTTAACTGCTGAGGCTGTATCCCATTTTCAGTATTCTTTTCAGCGTTTGAATTCTGGTTTGGATACAGGCTTTACAGTAAGCTTGATCTAGTTTTAGGGAATTGTTCCAATGTTTTGGACAACATCTCATCTCAGGCATCCATTGGTGGAGAGACAATGCATTCAACCTAAATAAAAATTAAAAATAAACATATTCCTGTTCTCTTACCCTCAAAGCATAGGCCCAATCAAGACTGACACAAAATATTGGAGGGGTTAAAGGAAAGGGCTTACAGCCACACAACCAAAGACAATTTGTTTCCTTAGGCAATGAATTAGATGGCATCTCAAATTCCACATGTGGAAGGTGCTGGGAAAATTCAGATAAATGCTGGTAGAAAAGGGTTGCTTATATGTGCCCTTCTGTTATAAAATCAAAACTGCACCCGTTCTCAGAAAGCAGCAGAATTCCAGGTTACTGTTTAGTGTTGCTGTTACTTTAAGAAGATGGAATTCTTAGCTGGACGGAGAAGCTGGTGTAGACTAACACTATCAGTAGGGAAGTATGGTGTTCCCTTCAGTTGCAGGGAGCTGAGGAAAATGTTGATGTCCCTGCTAGCCAGGTGACTTACAGACCCCTAAACCAAATGCCAATAAGGTTCAGCAAGGCGGAGATTCATTTGGTTCTTTTATTCAGCTGAGAAAAGCAACCAGGTGTCAGCTTCCCAGTACACAGGCAGGAAGCAACACACCACATTCCATCAACGCATCCTTCTTATAGCTTTTCTTTTTCTTACTTTTTTTCTCACACAATCTCACCCCCATTGTTCCCTCATCCAATCACCTCCCAGAGTCTGCCTGACCCTTTGCCCAATCCCCTTACGGGGTCTGCAAGTCCACTGCATGCCTGCCCTTGTGGAAGAGGCTATCTCCATCCAATCCCTTCACAGACCGAGTGTGATCAGATCACAGTGTGCCAGACCTTGCACAGGGAGTCTTCTTCACACTACCCCTTTGTCTATGTTTCTTATCTTACCTTATCAACATTCTTTTGCCTAACATTCTTTTGCCTCCCCTTTTTCTTCTCCAAAGCAAGCAGTTATACAGAAAGCAAATGGCAGCGTTAACTGAGCTAACCAAGCTTTCAAGCAAGCAGCTTTTTACAAAAGCAAATAGAGTTAGTTAAGCTAGAACTAAATAACATTAGTTAAGCTAATCAGGCTCCTTCAACAAAGACATTCATTTGTTTCTGAATGGACCCATTTAATCATCTACTGTAGTTCCACAGAGGCAAGCACAGTGTAGCTGCCAAACCAGTTTTCCTGACCGGATCCTCAATCAGACACTTTTGCATGTTTAAACAGACACTAGAGGCTGATCCAAACTGCAAGGAATCTACTGAACTGACATGTCAATAAAGCAATCAGTAACATTTTCCATACTATTGTTACCAGTATTTCTGATTGGTTTAGGGCATTATGTCATACCTAAAGTCATCAAGATGCTATTGTACTAACATTATCTGGAAACTTAGCACTGTATTGATGTATGCAACCAGCAGGCTATGAAAGTATCTGTACATGGGCTGTGATTTTGTAGTTGCATTTGTCTCTCCCTGGGAGCATTCTGTCGTTAGTTACTGCAGGTACTGGGGTACCGATTCAATAAAGCTGCAGAAGTTCAAATGTGTTGATCTTCCCCATGCGTCTGAGTGTTCATTCTGTGCAGTATGAAAACCGAGAGTCTGTCAAAGGCAATCTGGTAGTTACATCTCGCAGGTTACTTTAACTGACAATGGGACCGCATCCTGGACAGCACTTGAGGGCAGAATGCTCATTTACGGGTGCAGAGCAAGCTGTGTAGTGCACATAGATCTTTTTACCAACTCACTTCTCACCCACTGGCATCTGCCCCCTGAGCCAGCTGCCACACTCTGCCCAATGGTAGAGCCGGTCCTACTCTGAGTTCTGCCTTGCACTTTGATTTAGGCTTTGCTTTCTTCTCATGGTTGTACACACTGCAGCATTTGCAGCCATGTTTCCACAGAAGCTTCTGATTGCAAAATGTGCAGATTGAGAAGATATTGA